ACCATCTGCAAGTCCAATGCCACTTGATGGAACACTGAGTAACAAAACTAAATCACCATTACTCAATTTAAATACACCAATAGTAAGTCCATTACCACATCCTATAAATGATGAGAATGAATCAGTAAGTAAAGATAGTAAGAGTTCTTCATCAGAATAAATTGATTGACTTTGTTTTAATTGATGGTTTATGATAATTAAGAATGTAAATTTCTAAATTATTATTTATTCATTTGTTTTAAATACTGATTTTATTAAAATGTTTACAAATAATGACAAAATAAAACAAAAGTATGATAAAAGTATGCATGACATACTATTTATGTTGATTTATTTTAAAAGACATACATCGAAAAATAACAATTTAATAGACTTTATACGAAAATAAATAATTTTTTAATAAATAATGTTGTTATTAAATAGTTTAAATAGTCAATGTCAAGGTGTTAATAAAATAAAAGGATTTAATAGATAATATGAGAAGCTATAGTTCATCACTATTTAAACTCTTATTGAATTGATTTGATAATCAAATTACTTTACACTAAAAAGAAATTCAATAAATTGTTGGTATTTATTTAATCTACTGTGTATATTCTAAAATGAACGTTAATAATAACCTTGTAATCCATTGTATAATACTCTAAATTGTATTTGATATATCCGATATACGTTGTTCTCATTTAAAAGAAAAAATAGAAGAAAATATCTCACCTCTTTCTTTAATCTCTTTCATTTAATTCATTTTGAACATTTATTGTATGAGTACATTCGTAAAACACTCTTAAATTTAGTTAATTTAAATAAACCTTATAACACTTAAATAAACATAACTTCCTTTGTCCATAGCTCCATTCTTTTATTTAAATCTTCTTTTATTAATCCCGAAAATATTCCAATCATTCACTCCTTCTTTCAGGTAGTAACTTATATACTATTTGGAGTTTTTTCTTATTTGTATAGATTTGTTATAAAAAAATCATTTATTGTCTGTCAATAACATACCCTTTGTTTTGAATCTATTATATTATTAATTTCGTTAATCGTCTTTAGAAGTTAACTGTTAAGTTTGATTAACTCAAAAACTTTGTTTGTATTTTAATCTGAAAGAAATTAGGAAACAAGAATCTAATAAAAAATTAATTACAAATGAAAAGAAAAAAAATTCATTTGAAAAAAATAATAACAATCCATGAGAATTATTGAAACACAAAACAAAAAAGAATTTTAAGAATTTAATTTATAAATTATGACAATAGAATAGAGAAATTACTCCAAATCATCAAAAGTTAATGAACGAGGAATGTAATTACTATCTAACATTCTAGCTCTATGAATTGGTTCAGTGGATGGAACTTTTAATTTATTTGGAGTAGCATTAATTACAACAAGTCTCTTTCTGACTTCATCTAGTTCTTCTTTAGTTTTAATATCATCGAATGCGTGAAGTGCTCTTCTCCACTTTCTTACTTGACCATCCCAAGATCTTTTAGAACAAGATTGATGAATATCTGGAGTTTTAGGATCTCCACGGATTCTTTCAGAGACTGGAACAAATTTTACATAGTTAGCGTATCCTTCAGTAACTTTTCCATATGAAACTTGTTTAGATCGAGTATCTAACTTCTTAGGATCTTCCTCTGATTTAATAACTCTTTTACAAGGAGTTTTATAAGGGACTTCTGATTTCTCAGAGAGAGCACAAATAACAGCAAGAGGGAGAGTGTATGGGATGGCAGAGGGCTTAAAGGAAAGAAGGTCACTAATTGAATATGTGTATTGTTTTCTAGATTTATATGGCTCTGCATCTAATACAAGTGATGGTCTATTAATGGTAACAGTTTTATTAACAGCCACTCTTGGTACATTGGGTTGAATAGTTCGAAATGCACGTCTCAAAGGTTGAGTTGAAGAACTCATGACTGAATCGAACTAACAATTCTTTGGGCAACTATTTATATCTCACAATCTTATTATTCCTAGATCTAGGGTTTGTTTCACTATTTTTGCAAAAAAAGAGAAAAAATTTTGTTTTTCTTTTTATATTTTTTTGTTAACAGGTAACACTAGTAAAAGTATCAGATAGCCTTCCTTTGGTCTTTGGAAAGGCTTCTAAGTGAACACCAAATAGTGCCTTACCTCAGATAGTTGTTGTTGTTTATTGATTTCTTAGATGGTAATTTATTAGATTTTGCAAGGGGTTTCTCTTCGAGGTTTTCGTTATAAAAATTTCCCTTTTCATATCCATTTTGGATAGCGTCGATTGTCACGCATTTCAAATTGATAGTTTAAGGAAAACTATTAAAAAACTATAAAATATAGTTTTTTTTTTCTTATCAACTTTTTTAGTTTTTGTAATTTTTTTAGAAAAAAGAAAAAATAAATTACTTGAGATAGTGAGATGAAGAGACAAAAACATATATATAGTAGTAGGTTCCTAAAGAAAAATTAGGAAAATGGCTAGGCTTGAGCTTATATATGATACATACGAACCTACAGTCGATATGTTAATGAAAAAAGAAATGTTTAAAGTCAGCTCAAAAAAATTTGTACTTTTTGAACCGTTTGATTTAGCAAATGACAACGAGCTTGATGGGTCTCAAGAATTACGTATTAATGAAGACAGATCAATTCAAAGTGCTAAGTTGTTTGAAATTAAAACTGATGAAAAACCAATTCCATTCTTTAAAAATATAAAACCACCATTTGAAGGAATTCCAACTGCCTGTGTAAAAAAGTTGAGTCAGATTTATAAACTTCATTTTGATTATATTTTCATCCGAAGGGCTGAAAAAATCGAGGGGTTATTCACATTCATCGATAGGATGTTAGACAGTGGTAAGACAGTTGTTGTTTGTGGTGTTATTTCCTATAAACTAAAAGAGAATAAAGCTTTATTTTCTTTAATACCTTATGCGTCGAAAGTTAGTATAAAAAGAACAAGTTGTACTTTTTGTAATGCTAAATCAACTTATATTTTCAAAGAAAATGAAACATCGACCATTCCATTATGCAGAGACTGTTTTAAACAACGACACCCATTGAATAATATGTCAATACTTGACTTTGTTTCCAAAAAACCAGAAATAAATTCATGTGATGAGAAGAAGGTCGAAAAATCTCAATCAAAAATCAAAGAATAATTAAGTTAAATCACAAATTTCTATTCTTAATCTTTCTACTCTTTTCGATTTTCTTGTTATGAATCATTTCTTTTTAAGAAAACCATCTTACTTCGAATCTTAGTTTAAAAGAAGCTTCGTTATAAATTGAATTGAAAAAACTGAAAAAAACTTCGATAAATTATTTTTTTTTGTGCCTTATCAGATTTATATTTATGAGAACAATAAAGTAATCCTCAAAATTTGAAAATTTTATTAAAAAAAGTATAGAGACCTTTGAAATTTCGCAAGACAATCAATGAAATCATAGTTTGATTTAAGAATATGTCGTTACTATTTTATTTTGTTATGATTTAAAAAAAAACAAAACGTTATTAAATAACAATATATTGGATAAACAAGTCAATGCCCAAATTTTGATTCATCTATGTCAGGAGTTTGACATGGGCTTGGGGTATCACTACAGACAAATTCTGATTTTTTTAGTTGGGCAGAGAAACGTTTAAGATAAGCTGGTTGAGGGTTTTTTCTATTAAACACTAAAGAAGATCTTTTTGTTGATTGACGTTTAATAGAAACCATACTGGGATACACTCTGTTCATTTAACAATGAATTAACCTTAATGAGTTCTAGAAATAGTACTTAAGTAATTTAAATTGTCGAAAAACTAGTCACAGAAATATATTTATAATTAGAGATTTTCCGATAGAAAAATCAGATTTAAATGAAAAAAGGAAGAAGAAGTTTGATATTTATTTGACTTTATTAATTGCAATTTGTATCAAAAAAAAAATAATTAATAATGAATTAATTCATTCCTACATTTAATAAATCAATAACTTGTTCAATGTTATATCTTTCTGAAGGATTTTGTTTCCAAGAATTTTGGATAATCAAAAAATACCATTCAGGCATTCCAGAAGTAATTTCTAATCTATTTCCTTGCATAACATATTCAGCGATATTCCATGGATATTTAAATAGATTCTCTGGATATGGACGATCCCATTTAAATGTTTCATACATTAATATAGAGAAAGAGAAAATATCTGCTGATTCGGTGTATTTCTCTTGGTTTAATATTTCAGGTGCCATATAAACAGGTGTACCAATTCCTTTAGTAAAAGTCATATTTGTTTTCATTGAATTAACATTTCTTGATGAACCAAAATCTGTTAATTTAGCATTAACTTCAATTCCATCATCTAATGAGAAAATCAAAACATTATCTGGTTTGATATCACGGTGAATAATTCCATTAAAATGAAGATATTGAATCCCTTTAGCTGCATCAATAACTAGTTTCATTCTCATATGTTCATTTGGTTTTGAGTGGTTATTTATTAATGATTGTAATGAGCCCATGTCTGCATATTCTGTAACGAGGCAAATTTTTGTTGGAATGAATACTGCACCATAGAAATGAACAATATACTCACACCTAAATTTATCTAACATTGCAACTTCTTTATTAAATTCTTCCATTGCTTCTTCATCATCTCCCATTTTCATTTTCTTAATAGCAACTTTATTTCCTTGAAATGTTCCTTTGAAAACAACTCCAAATGATCCTTCTCCAATTTGTTTCTCTTCTTGAATCTCATCATAATCAAGTCTAGTAGACACAACAGTGGCTGCATATATTTGAATACTCTCATTTGTTTTTTTATTATTTTTTATATCAAACAATGTTATTTGAAGTCGTTCTTTGATAGTACAAGTACATAATGGTGTAATATAAATTTCAGCCTCAAAAGCCTCCCCTTTTTTTAAAGTTATTTGTTCAGGATTACATCGTAATGTATATTTACTATCAATTTCATCTACAGTCATAAAGGTAAGTTGAATTGTTTTGTTGTACCCATTTCCAATACAAATAATATCTCGAGACTCCTCATTGACTGGGAGTTCATTTCCATCTTTTTCATATTCACCACATCCAAAATTTGCTAATCTTTTATTCACAAGAATTTGACTTCTACCACTTAATGGAATCCACTTTATATTTGATGTGTTCATTCGGAAATGTGACACTTGATTTTTTTGTTCTTCAATAACTTGTTTTATATGAAGTCTTTTGATTGTTTTTCTAACAATAAATATAACAAACACAATGAATAGAATAAAGAACATTATCCCTCCAATAATAGCCAATACAATAACCCACCAAACTGGTGAACTCTTACACTCTTTTCCATCAACATCAACTGAGTACCAGAAATCACATTTACTACATATATTATTACGAGCACTAACGCAATGAGAAAATTGTGAATAATGACTACATTTGTAGTCAACATCTAAAATATAATCATTATTACATAAATTACATCTTCCATTTTGTTTATTACAACTAATACATTCATCAGTTCTTTTATCACAAGATAAACATGTGTAACCATTTAAGAAATATCCATCTTCACATACTTCACATCCAAATCTATTTGTAGTCTCACAATTAGAAAGTAAACTTGTGGAAAGACATTTTTGTGTTTTTATATCAAAATAATAATTGTTTATGCACATTAAACAACCATTTGCATTTGCACATGAAACACAATTTTCAATACATTTTGAACATACTTTTCCATCTCTATAATATCCATCATTACAAATAGCACATTGTTGAGAACTTTCACTTACTAACATCATCTTACAATTTGTAGTTTCGGAGACAATACATGACTCTCCTTGAAGAATATATCCAGATTGACATTCATAACATGAGTCTTTTGAATTAACACATTTAGAACAAGTAGCATTACATGGTAAACACTTGTTTTGATTATTGTAATATCCATCAACACAACTTCGACATACACTTTTTGTATATAAGGAACAAAAATTGTCATTTTGTTCTGAACATATTGTGTTCCCATCAGAGTCTGTTGATAAGTAATATTTTTCTTCTGTTTCTGAGAACAAACACTCAACACATGTTCCATCATTGTTAGTTTTTAAACAATGCTCTGTTCCACTAACACACCCCTTTCCATTAAAATATTTAGATGAATCATCACAACTCAAACAAGTGGACTTTGACACTACACTACATGAAACTGATTCTTTAGAAACACATACCCCACTAGTTGTCATGATATAACCATCAACACAACTACTACAAAAAACATTATTAGAAACTGAATAACAAGTCATACAATGTAATCCACCAGAACTACATGAAACACATGTAGAACTTTCTGATAAATAATATCCTGGAGAACATTGAATAATTCCTGAATTACTTACACTAATTGAATTAGAAGGAACATCACATGTTGTTGAACTTTTAATTGCATTAACAGTTATATCACAAATATCACAGGATGACCCATCAAGACATGAATAACAATTATTCCCACATGATGTAGAACAACGTGTGTGGTCATTATCTATCATCATTCCCTGAGGACATTTCAAACAAATACCATTCTTTGAAAAAGAACATACTTTGATATCTTGAATACATTTATTAATATCTGATTTATCATTTATGTATTCATCTTCACAAATAAAACATTGTTTTGAATCACAAGTTAGACAATTTGGTTGACATGGATAGCACTCCCCTTTATCCATATAATACCCAGTGTTACATCTTAGGCAATATTTACTCTTGGGAGAAATAAGAGCACAATTATTAACATCTGTTGATGATGCAACAATACAACTTCCATCAGAATTAAATCCATATCTACACTTCTTACAAGTCGTTCCACTTGATGTTGAATAACCAATAGAGCAAATTCCATCGACTTCTATTAGATTTGATGAAATAGTAATTCCGCAAGAAGATGTATCAGCAATAATTAAGTTCTGATTATTTTCTCCTTTAGTAATAATTGAATATTTACCATTTGTTTTTGCCAACACTGAATTCCCATTGCCATCAATCACAACATTTGCTTGAAGAGTTAATGGTAACTCATAATTTGAAACAGTTATTGTTGTTGGTGAAACAACAAATATATTAGAATAATATTCATCATTATCAATGGTAATTGTTGATGCTGATATATATAACGTTGATGTGACATATTGAGATATATGTCCTGGACATGAATAATCAAAAAATGAAGATGACTCACTCTCATAGTAATACTGACTTTCGTCTCGCTTATAACATGTTTTTGTTCCATATCCCTTTCTGTCACATGACTCATCACCAGGAGTTCCAAATATTGCTATTTGTCCATCACACATTGTTTTCATCGAATTAGTAAATGTAACTTTTCTTTCTTTCAATGACATTAAATAAAAAGGATCTTCTTGACCAGATGCCGAGTTAATTGTTACTTTTAGTTCATTTTTACTTTTTCCTGTGATAATAAAGAAGCTTGGTAGTGCGAATTGAATTTCAATCGAATCAATGACTAATGTTGTTACTGAGTCACTCAAAGTCAATTGACTATCAGTTGTTAATTTATTAATGTAAATTGAATTTACATTTGGTCCAAATATAAGATTAGAAACCTTGAGACTAAGCTTTGTTGTTGAAGTAAATTCATTAATAGTTGTTTTGTATTGGTTAATAATTGTATAATCTGTGTTTGTTTGTGTTGATGGATCTACAGAAACACTATCAATTGTAATAACAGATGAAAGTATAATTTTTGCATTTTGACTGATTATTAATTTATTTAATTCACTTAAAACACCTATGATATTGACTTCTGATGATGTTATGATTGAACTAATGGTAAGACTATTTTCATTTGGTGCTGTGATACTAATTTTGTTTGTATTTGTTTCCAGTGTTATTATATTTAATTCTCCTGAAGACACAATTGCAATAGTGGTGTCTGATTGAAGAATAAGCTTAGTACATGTTAATTTCCCAACCAGCGTTATTGA